GAGACATTATCTAGGCAGCCTAACTTCAATGAGGGATACTAACACCACAGCATTTGGATCCAAATAGGATAAAACTACATAGTAAATTAAGGGTCACGTGGGCAAGTTTCTTATTTATGAATCTCCTCACATGATTTTCTTATGTGATAATCTACTTCTCTTCACTGAAGGCTCACTAAGGCTTTCCTTAGCAGAAGCTATTAACTTTCTAAGCAAATTTCAGTTAGGAGTTTTTCTAGCAGTTTATTAGACCTTTAATGAAGGTTAATTATACTCTTCTTCATGCTTTCTGAGCTAAGAGATGAGAAATAATTTTATACACATAAGCAAACCCTAAATTGTCATTTTGTTCTCAGAAACTTGATACCATCATCACTTAGAAAGAGCAATAACTTAGAAACCCAAGTGAGACAGAACACAAAATAGTCTGCTTGGCTACGTGTATACTTAGAACAGGAGGGGATCGTGTGTTTTTATAAGGTGAAACAAAAGTCTTTTTTCAGACCAGTTGGCTACCTCTGGACAGAAATTTTATATTACAGAATGTTTAGACACAATGCAATGTATCTATTAAAATATGCAGAGCTGAGTATATTGTCAAATTAATATGAGTAAAATAACTCCAAAGACCAAATCTTTGAAGAGAATGTATGCTCCCCAAAGTGGGGGAGCATTACCCCCTCTTCCCTTTTAAAGTCCTTTGCATGCCAGTATTGTTTGGAGGGGTTAGACTTTCTTTTCATGACTGTTTAAAGGTCTTTTCTTTCATGAGCCTGTTAGTGAAAATAATTAAAGTTTTTCTCTAGTTCTTGCCTCTTGGAAGTACATGTAAGTTGTCACTTATCTTGAGCAAAACCAAACCAATTGCTGTCTAGTCACTTTCACCTTATAAGCGACCCTCTAGGACAGAGTAGAACTGCCCCGAAGGGTTTCCAAGGCTGAAATCTTTATAAGAGCAGATGGCCACATCTTTCTCCTGCAGAGCAGCTAGCTGGTGGGTTCATACTGCTGACCTTTCAGTTAGCAGGTAAGTGCTTAACCACTGTACCACCTGGGCTCCTTTTTGTGAGCAAGATAATATATATATATATATTTATAAAAAGGAAACTTTGAATCCTGGGCCTCTTCAGAAATTGAGACAATCTTGCAGTCATAAAGAGGGTAAAGTACTTGTCATTTGCAGGTGGGAGAAGTGGAAGGTTAAAAATTAGATAGTCCCATTGTGTTAATAAAACAAGGTCTAGACAAATGTGATTGCCTGGCTGCGTGACTTTTTTTTTCCCCCCCTTAAGATGACTCACTCAATTCATTTAGTGTATAGCCATCAAGTTTAGAAAAAATACTAAAAGAAATACGTATCTATAAAAACAACCTCCTGGAAAAGTTATTTTAGGAATTACAATGGAAAACTAGAATTCATACTATTTTATACAGTGAAGTGTTTCCAGTATTGTGTTTTATTTTGTTTTACTCATAATTAAAACTTGTACTGGATTATGCAATTTTACTATGCCTCTACTGTACAGGAATAGAGAAGTATATAAAATATCTTGTGAGTACAGCCTGCAGAATGCATTAAATGCATTCTGACATCTCTAATATGTTTCTTAAGCATTTCTTTGACAATATTTAACACAGTTTTCTGAAGTTTAACAATCCACAGGACTTATTTTAAGTCACTAAATAATCTGCAGCATTTTAAATCCCCTTAAATGAGCACCTCTGTATAATTGTGATTGAATCAAAGCAGTCAGAAAGTTCATCCAAACCAAACCAAACCCACCACCATCAAGTCAATTCCTACTTATAGCCACCCTACAGGACAGAGTACAACTGTCTCATAGGGCTTCCAAGACTGTGATTTTTATGGAAGCAGGCTGCTACATCTTCTTCCTGTAGATTAGCTGGTGGGTTCAAACCACCAACCTTTTGGTTAGCAGCCAAATGCTTCATGGGGGGGGGTACACTATATCACTTATAATCAACATCTATTATACATGATGTTCTGGTTACCTAGTGCCACTCTGACAGAAATATACCACAAATGGGATAGCTTTAACAAACAGGAGTTTATTCTTACAATTTGGAGGCTTTAAGTCCGAGTTCAAAGTGCCAGGCTCTAGGGGCTGGGTGAAAGCCCCTCAACCTTGGGGTCCAGCTCCGCCTCCTGCTCCCACCCCACTGGAGCTAGAGGCATTTCTTCACTCAGACAGCTGCTGGGCACTGAGGCTGAGAAGCCCCAAGGTTGACAAGTCAAAAGGCACAGTCCCAATGTTACCAAACCACACGGCAGGCCATGTAAGTCCCAAGGTCAGCAGAGCATAGCGGGCTGCTGAGCAACGACACAGCTACGTGCAAGATGCAAGGTCCAAGCATGCCATAGGCTAGAGACCATTCCCAAAGCTGCTTCTTATAAACAGGAAGCAGACCACACCCCAAAGGCAGCTCCTTAGCTGCTTGTGGTAGATCCCACCATGGAGTTGATTGCCAGTCTCATCCTGGGGAATAACTATCACCAGCTGCCCAACCACTCAACCAGACCCAGCAAGTTGACACACAAACTGAACTTGTCAACTTGGCATCTGTACAAATCACCTCCACTGGGTGGCTCCAGTCCCCTTGTTCCTCTAAGTGACGAACTCACCCCCTTGGCCTAGAAATGGCCCGGTTCCTCTCCCTCTTGGGCATGGCAGCCCCGCCCCCTCACTCTTGGGCAGCTGCTATGGCTCCATCCCACTGGCTCACATGAATGAGCAGCCCCACACTCCAGAACCAAGTTGGTGAAGGCCTGGCTCTTTGAAACCTAGGGGCTGTGATCGTTCCACCCCCAAAGGCCATGGTCCTACCCTTTCAGGCTGAAGGAGCTGTGCTTCTGTTTCCTTGGTCTCCACTTTTGCAGAGTAATGCCTGAGGTTAACCCACCCTGCCAGGAATCTTCTTGTCCCAAAGGACATTTAGTGTTATTGCTCCGTGGGCCGGCAACCTACTACTCCATTTCAAGCCTATGCCAGTCTTCTTAACCATTTTGTCATCGTCGTTATGTGCCATCGAGTCAGACCTGACTCATAGCAACCCCTCCTTGGGTTTCTGAGGCAGTATCACTACAGAAGTAGATTGCCCTATCTTCCTTCCTAGGAGTGGCTGGTAGTTTGAACCGCCAGCCTTTTGGTTAGTAGTCAAGTGCCTTAGGCACTATGCTACCAGAGCTCCCTCTTAACCATATATAATCTCTAAATAAGGACAATTATAAAGTCATATTTGCAACATCAGTTATTTATAAGTACTTGCTGGAATTATAGCATTATGTTGCATAATATCTGAGAATTCATGTTTCTGTTCTCACCTTCCATAAATAAGAATCATTTAGTTAATTCCTGGCATAAGATCTTAGATTTTGTTAGATGAGCTCATATGAAGACTTGCCATTGCATGGAATAGTATCATAAAAGATGTTAAAAAGTTAGAAATTAACTCAACTTCTATTTACTCAGCCCACATATTCTAATTGAAAGTAGTTTTCAAACATAATTAGCTTCCAGGAGGGTAGGTTCAAACCCACCAACCGCTCCACAGAAGGAAGGTGGGGCAATCTATTTCTGTAAAGATTTACCGCCTCAGAAACCCAGTGGTGGTCGCTATGAGTTGGAATTTGATCTGATAGCAATGAGTTTCGGGGTTGTTTTTTTTTTTTTTTTGGAAGACGTTAGTATTTAAGTTTTATAATTAGGGTATGTTCCTATGCTTAGGAAGAAAGATATAAAATGAACTAATTAAAATTCGCTGTGGTGTATAGATGAATATTAATGTTGATTGCATAAAAACTTTATCAAAAGTGAGACTCATTTTATGGTATCTGGAGAAGATAGAACTGACATTTATTTAGTCCCTCCTTGGTAGACTCATTACTGATTTTTTGGATCTTTCATATAATGCTTTGTTCTGAAAAATCTGTTTCAATTTAACCTTTTCTCTTACATTATACAGAGGCAATAAACAAATTGATTTATTCATGTATAATCCTAACCAGATTAACAGAGCATTTTTCTTCTGGACCCTTAAAATTATAAGTGGTTATGTCAGTGATTACAGTGAGATTTCTAGGTTTTCGAATTGCTTCTCATGTCTTCATGAGACATGTTTGACATGTCTTCTCAGAACATAGTAAATCATTAATAATTATGTCTTCATTTGCTGGTCCCTTTTTTATAAAAGTATTAACAGAAATGGCAAAGGAGGCTGTGAGCTTAGGGCAGAGGTGATGCCTTAAACTCTCTCCTTGAGCATGAATAGATTTTGTTTCCACCAGTCCTAGAGTTAGTCCTAGGCTGCTGACAAGTAGGAAGGAGAGAATGAACAGCAAAATAAAGATAGAGTAAAGCTCTGACTTTTGTAGCCACAGCACCATTGGGCTGTAGATGCCACGTAATAAGAGGGTCTCCTTGGAAGGCTGGCTTGGCTTAGGAAGAGCTTTATTTGTTACCAAAGAAAAAAGTCTGCTTCTTCTGCTAAGACTGTAGAACATTTTCATTTCCAGAAGCCTCAAAACTAATGACTGATCTAGGTTTTAGAACCTCTGGAATGGAGGACGTATGCTTCTCTTCAGATCTCCTTGACAAGAATCAATTATTACCTATCTAAATGTTGTTATTTAGGTAGTAAGGAGCTCTGATGGTGCAGTGCCTAAGGCATTTGATTGGTAACCAGGAGGCTGGTAGTTCAAACCCACTAGCCACTCCATGGAAGGAAAACAGGGCAATCTACTTCCATAAAGATGTACTTCCTCAGAAACCCAGTAGGGGCCGCTATGAATTGGAATCAACTTGATGGCAGTAGGTTCGATTTTTATTTTTTTATTTAGGTAGTATTTTTCTTACCTAACATTGCCATGATTTATTCTGGTTTTGTGTATTTAAACAGTTCATCTCCAATTTTTTTTTTTTTTTTTTTTAAAAAGGTCTTCTAATGTGAGAGACAATGATAGTCAAATTTTCATGTTATAGATGCTGTGAAACCACCTGGGCCCTCCTTGCAAGCACCAGCTGATTTACCTTTAGCTGTAAATACAGCACCATCCACACAGATGGATTCATCCTCTGCTCCTCTACCTCCTCCATATCAGCTAATTAACCTTCCACCACACCTGGAAACTCTTGGCATCCAGGAGGATCCTCAAGACTACCTCTTGCTAATCAACTGTCAAAGCAAGAAGCCTGAACCCATGAGGTAAATCATGTGTGCCTTGTGTGTATGTGTGTGTGTATGTGTATGTATGCACATATAAGAATCCTATTTTTACTTTTTTTTTTTTTAATCCCTAAGCCATCCATATAGACATCTTTCAGATTCATATTCCTCTAATGATGATTTTTGATATTCAGGAGATTTTATTGAAGACATCCCATCTCTACCACCTTTGATCAAAGAACAATTTTGTCTACAAAGCTCTTTTGGAAATTAATCTATACTTTCATAGCCTTTGTTACAGACTTACAGTCTTACTTGCTTAACAGATTTCACTGATTTATAAATGGTGATCTTGCTCCATTTCTTATGTGATTGTAAACCAGCCAAGGGTCATCTTTGGTTTCTGAAGAAGGAGAGGAATACCTACTACTAGAAGATTTTGAAAGCAAAACGATTCCATTGCAGTGAGTGTGTTGTGGTTGTTTTGGATCTGTGTAAGAAATTAATAATACAGGTAAAATCCCAATATAGCAAATTCTGTGGAATATAGAAATTGGCTTGTAATTAAATTTGATAAATATATTGCTAAAAACTCTTTCCAGTCTTCATACCTATCAGTGAAATAGAATATGCCCCTAAGTTTTACCTTTACAGTGTATTAAGTAAAAATCAGTACTGTCAAGTACTGAACTCCATATACTTAATACTTTGTAAAGTATCAAGTGTTAAGTGATATATACTCCATTTTTACTTAATACTTTGAAAAGGAAAAGCTTAGGAGCAAGATCTGTTTCACTGATAGGTATGAAGACTGGAAAGACAGTTCAGTGCTTGACAGGAGAGAGTCATACTGCCTTACTCAAATCCTCAGTTTCTCTGTCATCTCCATCACTGTTCCCACATCCACATCCATTCCTCTTCTGGGGAAAAAAAAAAAACCTCACTGCCATTGATTCGACTCATAGCAACCCCTCCTTGGGTTTCTGAGGCAGTATCTCTATGGAAGTAAATTGCCCAATCTTCCTTTCTAGGAGCGGCTGGTGTGTTTGAACCACCAGCCTTCTGGTTAGCAGTCAGATGCCTTAGGCACTATGCCACCAGAGCTCCCTCTTCTAAAGCACATGGTATTTTAATTTGATTATTCTTGTCATTTAATGTTGAATGCTTGAGGTAACAGAGGGAGGTAGAGAGCAGTTGTTTTACTATTTGAAAAGGGAGCAGGAACAGATGATTTGGAGGCCTGTCTCTACCATTAACAGCTATATGACAATTAGTAAAATCAAGGAATTTTGTGACTTCGGGTCTTCATTGTTTATTTTACTACATTATCTTAATTTCCAGAGTAAAAATGAGAGTGAGTTGCATAATATAAAACATATTTTCAAACAGGTTATAAGATATAAAATATTTTTATGAGAACAACTATTGGCTTTTGTGTAGAAAGTGATCATTACATGGACAAGAATCAGACAAAAACTTGTTCAAAAATGTGATATAGAGAATTTATTAGAATCTACAAACAATCCAAAGATGGATTTATATGTATTTGTTGTAATGGGATTTTACCTGTAAGAATAAAATGCAATTTTATAAATCAACCCTAGTTAATATAAAATTCTAACTTGATTTTGCCTGTTTGCTGTGAGTATTTAAAATTATACACTTGCAACTTTGCGAGCTATGCTACTAACTAAGGTTTTATTTTATGGAGCATTGAAATTATTTTCAATATCAACATTTAAAAACCAACTTAAAAAAAAAACAAACCAACAGCTAAGTGACATTTTCCAATGCATTTTCTTTTTATACTGTCTCTCCGTGATCTTATTGGTATCACAGCTTTCCTGTTGTAATTTTAAAAATTATACTGAAAATCATTGCTGAGCTATATTTTGTATCTGAGTTTTGAAAAAGTGACCACTGAATAATAAATACCTAAAAAGTACCTGCTAGGTACCCACCATTTTGGTAGATAGTATGGAGGTACAAACTAATTACATTACAGTCCCTTCAGATTAAGTTGTTTCAGAGTTTATAAGCAAAATTTGTTAAGAAGTCAAAACCAAAAAGCATTAAGTACTTATAGAACAGGTCAGTGTATGAGAGTTTTCTTGCAAATTCTTGTTCATCCTACAAGACTCAGCTCAGACACGTGCTTCTCTGGGAAGCATTCGCTAACCTTCCAGGATGGAAAAATGTCCCTGTGGATTTCCACAGCATCCTGGTCATGCCTTCATTATCTTGACCACAATATTGGAAATAGTTTGTTATTTCTGTGCATTTGCTACTAAATTATAAACTAGTTAAGGGCAGGAACCCTTACTTATTATCATTGTACCTCTAGCTACTCTTAACTCACATGTTTGGATTAAATGAAGTGCAAATTATAAAACATGCCTAGATACTTTAGAAATTCCAAGATAGAACAGTGCAAGTATTTTTAAGGTGGAGAAAGCTTCATAGGAGGAGTAGGATTTGAATTATACCTAATTGGTAAGAGAAAGGAAAATATCATGGGTAATTTAGAAAGGAGAGGTGAGAATATGCATGATTGGAGGTGGATGACAAGGATAGCCTGCCTGGAGTAAAGGAAGTGATTCAGGGAATAGCGGGAAATTAGGTAGGACATCAAAGTTGGAACTAGATTATTAGCAGCCTCAATGCCACGGGGAGTAGTTCATGACCTTCATGGAGTTCCCACAACCTGTAGGGACCCTTAACAGGTTTTTCTCTGAGTAGATGAGTGATATGAAAATGTTGTTTTGAAAATATTGATCTTATAACTGTATGGTCCCAGTGAGATTGATTTGATGAAGTCCAGTTAGGAGTAGAAAAAGAAGTCTGGAAGACTCAAAAATGAAGATCTCAGCAGAGACACAGGCCTGAACTTGGGGTGGTGATGGCAGGAATAGGGCAGGAGAACTAAGACGGGCAGAAAGAGGGACATAAGTGACAGTGGGTATCGAAGAAAAGTTGGTTGGATTTTGAGCATAGAAAATCTAGATAAAGACATTTCTTTTAATGGATGTCAAGAAGGGAAATCAGTTTTGAAAATAAGGTGAATTTGGTTTGGGGCACATTGAACAAGGTGTAGAAATGCCCTTTAAACAGTTTGAAAATCTGGGAAGTTAAGAGTTCAGTGCAAAAGCAGCCATCTGTATGCAATGATGGTTTCTCCTCATCCAGAGCAAAGAAGAATGAAGAAAA